TAAAAAGAGAAAGAACAGTTGGAGTTTTTTTTGGGCACCAAGTGACAAGTCCAATACACAAAAGGATTGTATATAATATAATATATTATTTATTTGTACAAAAAGGGTTAAAAATATTAGTATGCAAGTATATTAAAACAGAACAAAAATACATATAAATAAGGAAGACCTCCTAATACCCATCAAGTTCCACATCAGAGGTTGTAATAAGCATGATCATAGCATCTCTAGGCATGATTATAACACAATCAATACAAGGATAATGTAGTATATATTAAGGACAATTGTATTTAGGAATTTCAGCAATATTGCCAATAACCTCAAGTGGAACTATATAGATGGGTGATTGTGCGGTGTTCACAAAGCTCTCAGCGCGTTTCGCGCCACACGGCGCTTCTTCAGGAGAAGGAGGTGATCCCCTCAATACGAGATCATCAAATGCATAAGCCAAATAGTGGGGCAGGTCAGGGAAATAGATAGTCCCATGGTGGAGGAGAGTGAAAAACCAGTCAGGAGCTAGTCATAAGAGATTTTATTGACAAGATAATGGAGGAAGTATTCTCATGCCCAAGATAGGTCCATCCATCAAAAGACACAATATAAAGAGAGCTTGTAAATGCAGTGAAGCTTCCGAAGAACTTCTGCTGGTAGTCTCCAGCACCAAAAGCCGCCGGTATGTGTGGAATATATAGTGAGTTGGGAAATTCTAGAGAATTGCTTAAATAATGCATTCCACTTTAAATAAACCCATTAGATTTTAGTCAACTAAATCTACTGGAGATTTAGTCGATAAGACTAGACTAAAACTAGAACAATTCAGATGACTAAAATACGGCTACAACTAAAATGGCATTTTAGTCAAAATACTATGACTATAACTAAATTGAAATTTGCCATAAACATTAACACTGGTTTTTACCTGTCAAATATAAATAAACCAAAAATCCAGCATAGCAATACAACACTCTTAGTATGCAAATAATCCAATAAAAAAAAAATAATCTTAAAGGTTACGTGTGCAGTAAAATGGATGACTTTTGTATTAGATTATTATTCTCACTAATGATAGCTCTTGATTTAGTATTTGTAGTTATATACTATCAGCATAGTAAAATCTAAAAAATGCACACATACACAGAAATGTCATAAACAAATGATAGAAAATACCTTTTTTTCTTATCCCAGAATTATTCCAGACATCACAAAGTGAACAAATAAAGTGGTGGGATCTGCTAAGGCATATGTGTGACATGGGTTTGTTTACATGGGTTTGTATTGAACAATTGATTTACTGCCCAGCACTGTTTTTTGTGTTATTGTTTGCCTGCAGCCTTTGGGAAGCAGTTACTTGACACCACCAACTATGTGATACACACAATGTCTTGTGGGGTGGGGGAAACCATGGCTTTCCTTGCGTGGGAGAAAAAAATATACTTTTCCCAGTTTGACCAGTGACAATTTTAAAACAGCTATTATCTCTATATACAGTATATAAAGTAATATTTTTTATGAGATTTATCCTAGATGGCAAAATATCTGTAGTTAATCTTTCAGGGGCAGTCATTGGCCCCTGATTGTACTGTGCTCACCTCTTATCCTTTAACTAATCAGAGCACCCCTAGAAAAACCTTCTACTGTGATTTGCCACTTTTGTCTCTTGTAGCCAACTCTCCAGCTACTTTTCACCATCCTTCTTCCACATGACCTGCACTTTCTCCTTATGCATGGTTTCATTTAGGCACCCAAGCTTTCCCAGAAGAGCTGTGAGCACAGAAATCCAGTTGCTGTCTGAGAGGAGAGTGGCTGCTCTACTCTCCTGCAGTGTCTACTTTACTGCTCCTTTCTGCCATACCTCTGAATCTCCGTATTATACGGGACGGTTGGCAATCCTAGTGGTGGTGAGGGTGGATGGGCATAATTTTCACAGGGGAGTTAAGAATAACTACTTTTAAAGATTTTTATTTTTTGCCAAATTTGCCCTCTCTATTTCTTCTATGCCCCCTGCTACAGACCTCAGACCAGCTGCACCACGACCTACACTATCTGCAGTGGTTCTGCAATCATTTTCTCTTGAGGCCCCAATCTGTAGCTGAAAGGGAGAAAGCTTCAAGTAGATGAATGCAATTATCCTTATACTGTATGTTACAAATTCCAAACATGTGCTCCGTTTCAGAGCTCACCTGTTGAAGGACCCAACTGCAAAGCACTCTTTTGAGATTTAACACTTTATATAATAGTATCAAACTGTGTATAGAGGCACATAGCCGTATACTGAGGCAGAAAACTGTATGCAATAGTATTAAGATGTTTATAGCAATGCAGATCTGTATATGGAGTCTGAGACCTGTATCTAGCATGTAGGAACCATATAAAGCAGGTATACAGCCCTGTCTGTATATACAGACAGGGTCCCTAATATCCAGTGCAGCAAACAATTGTGGTTCTGCTTAACTAACATAAAATAATTGGGTATATACCATTTTGTAACTTTCCACATCAGTACAGTGAAGGACAAATGTACCAACTCAGCCGTAAAGTTTTCCTTTGAAACTGCTGGCAGCTATGAACACTGAAGGGGCAACATAATAGTACCCCAGATCTCAAGGCAGAGGTAGAAGCTGCAAAGTGTTTTCCATGCTAATGTGTCTGAATAAGTATGAATAAAAAGGATTTATGTGCAGTGGCATATGTTGCTTATACAATGTAAAAATCTAATTCTGATCCAATGCACAGGAGCTCTGAGAAAAGAAAACTTACTTGCAATGAATGATCTTTTTTTTTTTATATTATACAGTAATCTTGATTTAATGTGCAGAATAGGTTTCTGTAGCCACACCTTTTAGGACTGAAACATGTCATTTCTGCTGAAATTCATAACTGCAGTGCATACCATGAAATGTACAGTGTAAAACCTTTTATGCATTAACCGTCGTTCAAGTGTAGAGATTGCATATGAAGACATGCGTAACCAACTAGTAAAATGCCTTGTGATACAAGCTGCTCCATTCCTAAGTTCACCATAAAAACCAGAATCACTGAATGGTCTTCCTTTATAATTCTGGAATATTGCCTAACAGCTTCCTTTTTGCCTAACAACTTCCTAATTTCTTTAGATGAACAGCATGTGAGCCTCAGACAATATCTAAAAATGTATGACCTTCAATTGAACAGTGCCTTTGTCTTTTTTTTATTAAAGGAAGTATCATGAGTTTCTAGGAGTATCTAATGTGATTCTTTTTATGGTCTCATATAAATATATTTGCAGCTGCATATATACTGCAAAATAAGTGTAGCATCAAACTGTGAAAATGTAGCGCTTGGTGTTGATGCTTGAAAACTGAAGCTGAAGATCAGTAGCAACCAAATAAGGATTTGAAGTGTAACATGGAATTTGCTTAGTCAAAATAAGACAGACAATTTCTTTGTTCCACTTTGCAAAAAGGAACTTTGTTGTATTAGGCAGCTTTAATGCTTTTTAGCAGGATTTGCCATGAATGAATGTCAATAGTGTAGCAGTATTTTACGCTTTACAGTCCTAAAGAAGATTGCACTAAACTGGAGAAAAAAAACTTGTGAAGGGAAAAAAAATATTAGTTGATCTTTTCCTTGCATTCGCCCACAACGCATATGTGAGGGTGACATAGCCATCGTTCTGGGAAATGCTGAGTACCCCAAATCTCATGAGAAGATGATCCTGCACTGTGCCGGAGTATCATCTTAAGGGATTTGGGCAACTCGACATTCCTATTATTTAATTAGAAGGATGGTGATGTCATCCCCCTGCCGAGGTAAGCTATGTATATTAACCAACTTTTTCCCTCCACAGGTTTGTTTGTTTTTTAGTTTAGAGCAGTGTTTTACCAAGAGAGACAGTTCTTTCCATGTTTTGTTCCGCAATGTGTTTTTGTTTGGGGTGACCATCTTGGTGTAGAAAGTGATATTACCAGCTATCACTCCAATAACCTGAGACTCAGGGCCGGTGCAAACCTAGGGGACACCTCACCGCGCGGCAATCGTGCATGATTCCATGCGGATTGCAGTGCGGTCAAGAGTCGCCTACGAGTGCACCGATCGCGCTGTGGGTGCCATTATTTTCTAATGGCACTCGAGTCGCGCCGGGCGGATTGCGGGGTTTCCACCCGTGCCTCTGAACACAATCGTGGCTAAAAGAGCTGCACGTCGTATATCGCAAAAAAAAGGTACATGTACCTTTTTTCTGTGATTGCCGCACGGATGTCACCCCATTGAAATCAATGGGGCCGCGTGGCGATCGCGGCCTGCATTGTGCAGGACTGCGGGATCCCGGATTGCGTAGGTCTGCACCAGGCCTAAAAGTTGGAGGCAGCGGTGCTTTAAATGACTTTATACTGCATATATACAGCTAGGAGGCTCACATACCGGCAACCGGACTGCTATTTTTTAGGAGAAGTTCAAGACATTTGATAACATTTTCAGGGTATTACTGAGGCACAATTACCATTTCTAGAAGTTCCCCAGAACATAGAAAATCTTCCCTTTCTGAGTTCAGGATCAGTTTAAAGGGAAAATACAATGGGGCATTTTAATTTATTATTGTAAGTTTACAAGTTTATCTGTTTTATATATAACTTTTTAATTAACTGTATTAAAGATTAATTTAACAAACATTTATTACCATATGCATTGATGACATCCTGTTTTAAAAACATGCTAGAAAATAAGGAAGCCCAGCACTATTTTTATGCTTTATGTCTGAATATTTTTATCAGCTGGTTATAGAGGAATAGAGAATTGTAGGTCAATCCTCAGTATCCAGTCCATTTTTTGTAGACCTGCTGCCAAAAATAAAGACATTTCACAAAGCTCCATCTTCTGGATGAAAGTGTAAATATGTAAAATATTTTTTCTTTAATATTTTTTGTTTTGAACATAAATATATGAACCTCCAGCTTCACTTTGAGTTTTTTCTGTGTTAAATGTCTTAAATAAATAATAATGTTGGTCTTTTTTTGTCCCCATAGCATGGGTGAGCTCTTTGGCAATGGGAATGATCTTCTTCTGCTCCCCTGTGGTCAGTATATTCACGGATAGGTTCGGATGTCGGAAGACAGCAGTAGTCGGAGCCGCTGTTGGTATAATTGGACTTCTTTCCAGTTCTTTTGTTGAGTAAGTGTATTATGATCTATTTAACTGGTTTGCAGATTCCTTTCTCCAAGAACCTTGGTAGTTTTGTAGTTGGCATTAAGTAAATGCAATTTTTGTTAATGGCTTACCACTAACCTGTTCCAAGATCTGAGCAAGTTGTGGGTAGTTTGCTAACATAATGTGGCCCCTTACTTCTTTGATGGATCACATAAACTTTTTTTATTGCCATGATATAACAAACAGATGTTGCTATAGCCCCACTATTACTTCTGTGCTCAAAAATATGTGCCATGAAGATAAAAAAAGTGTTATGAAAACAAGTTTATTTTTTATTATTTAAATGTCATATGTAGTTTTGTAAAATCAAACAACTTGATGTTAATGACCTCATCAATATGTATCGATGTTCTAAAACATCAGTGTTCTTGCTTTTTAATGCTACACAACGGTTGTTCTTTACTTCTCAAAATGCAAGTCCATAAATCTGCCGAGCAACTGAAAACAGTTCACTTGTAAAGCAGTGAGTGCAATTAAATACAGAGCTCCCTCTAGTGGCTAAACTTCAAATATCTGTATTGATTACTATTATAATGTTGAAGAGCAAGTATGAAAATGTGTGACAGTCACATCAGAAACTGCTTTGAGGCAGAACTCCAGACAAACAGCTAAATACATATATGTGAACTGTTTTATCTGTCAGTTGGTTTGAAAATCTGTAATGTCCACTCAAGGTTGTGATTCACACACCCCGGTCTTACTATACACTCAGGTAGATGGCACATCTACTTTTTTGTTCAGTTTTTGAGCTTTCTAGGTCACCTCCCCATCTCTATCCTGCTCATCAGGCGATGGGTCAGGATCTTCATACTGCTTATTCATTGTCCAATGAGTTGATAAGTGTCACAGAGAGCTATGAAGATGAACCGAGAAACAATGTATATTTGTTTACCTGCATATACAGCATGCAAGAATTACATTATGGACTTAAAAGAATAATGTTTGTATTTCAATGTTGCTTTTGTCTGGAGGTCTGTTAAGAAAAACAATTATTATTATACAGGATTTATATAGCGCCAACAATTTGCGCAGCGATTTACAATACAAGGAAGGCATTAAAATACAGTTCAAGACACGATGGTAAAGAGGGCCCTGCTCGTGAGAGCTTACAATCTAAGATGCATAACAACTCAATATTTTCATGTTGTCTTTGGTGCTGTAACAGTTGTTTATTAAGAGCAGTATGTCAGACAGTTACTGTTTTCAGTTTGGCCATATAGAAAGTTATCAGATAGGAAATATTATGATACATTTTGTGCTATCATGCAATCATTAATTTGTATCATGGAAATAGATTTTTCACGAAGCTCTGCTCTACATCGCATCACAGCATTCCCATACAGCAGAGACCAGCAGATAATTTTTCACTGCATTCCATACAGTTTCTATTGGGGTTGATAACACTTAACCCCTTAACATCTAACTGCTTGTGGTATATTTTTACTGGCATGAAAGATATGCCGACACTCTTACCAAAAAGGGTGAAAATTAAGACTGTGTTTTAACTAATTGTTACCAATGTAAAGTCCTGCGACAGCAAATATACAGTAAGACTCCTTAACTATCATGTCTGTATTGCTTCAGAGTAAGAAATCAGATACCAACTCCTCCTGTTGTCATTTTCCAGTGCATGTTGGCATATTTTTTGTGTTGGTGGTGAGGCAACCAATTCTAATGCATAAATTATTATTTTTCTTCCTCTCGTTCAACAGGAGCCTTGAACCTCTCTATTTTACCTACGGTATATTATTTGCCTGCGGCTGTTCTTTTGCTTACCAACCATCTCTTGTTATCTTGGGACATTATTTCAAGAAACGTCTAGGACTGGTCAATGGCATTGTAACTGCAGGCAGCAGCCTGTTTACTGTGTCGTTGCCCTTTTTGCTGCGCTTTTTACTTGATAAGATCAAACTTGACAACACCCTACGTGTCTTGTGCATTCTCTTGTTTGTTCTCTTTCTGGCTGGATTCACCTACAAGCCCCTTATACCTAGGAAGAGCAGCAAAGGCTTAAAGGTCTTCAATTTCTCCATCTTTAAATCGAAGAGCTACTGTATATGGGCATTTGGAATTCCAGCTGCACTTTTTGGCTACTTTGTGCCTTACGTTCACTTGGTAAGCTGTCAATTTTACATTTATGCTTTGAACATACTTACCTTATGTTCCTTGTTTTCTCTGTTATATACTTTGATATGTTTATTTCCTATCTAATAATTTTCTTTCCGGTCTTTTTTTGTTAACATATAATATTACTGCTAAAATCGTTGTAACAGCACTTAATGTATAATCTACCCATGTACAGGTCAAAAAATCCCCAGAATAGAAGCAGTGCATACGGGGATGTAATTCTACCATAAACGTCCTGATTCAGGCACTTCCTGTTATGAAGGGACAGCACTTTGTACCTATCTCCCAATTGCACTGTCACCCTGTCCCATGTGCTTATGGTGGAGACTATAAATGTCTGGGCCTATGCCCGATATGCAGGCATGTTTTACCATGTCACTATTAGGAAACCTGCCTTGACATACAGCTGCCACTGGCGCACATGTATGCAGACAGGATATGGCTGAATTAGGCTCTAGGATCAACACCACAAAGCTAAAAAAAATGCCGAAAACAAATTAAACCTTTTTTTTCTAGACAAAAAAAAACAATTGTTTATGACACACCATGTTTTACCAGGGAAGTACATGTATACATTTGAAGCAAAGGTTGCCTAGCCCCCTCAATACATACACCCCCTTCCAGCAAGTTTGTGCTTACCTCCTTATGCAGCTTGACCGGCAAAAATCTAGTGCTGGGCTGCGCGCCTGTGCACTAATTTCTCGTAGAATTGAATATGACGCTTCTCCCACTATACAGTACATACCACTCAAGTTTATGTTGAGTTTTGTTTTAACTTTTTTTATTTCTCAACTCAATTTTGCCAGTTATGACATAAGTGCATAAAGTATTATGTTCCATAGTATGCAGTATTTGCACATTGTTCTTGTTTTATTCAACAGATGAAACACGTAGAAGAGCGTCTGGGACCAGACGTCAGCCAGGAGGTTCTTTTACTATGCATTGGAGTTACATCTGGTGTTGGAAGGCTGATTTTTGGCAGAGTTGCAGATTATATTCCAGGGGTCAAAAAAGTATACTTACAGGTACTGTGATTTAATTGTCCTTTTTATGTAAATCACTGTAGCATGTTTACATTATACATACAGTAATAAATTGGCCATTTAAAATACATTTTCAGCATCTCATGATATAGCTGAGGCAATGTTATCAGGGTCATATTTACCATAAGAGCACTTGCCTGTGCATAAGGTGGCAGGGTAAGAAGTGGCACATTTTAAATTAGTGTTTACTTTTTTTTGCTTTTATTTTTACTTTGTCTGTCCCCTAGTGGGCAAATACTACAGTTGGAAAGTTGTTGGATATGCAGGAGCTGCATAGAGAAGACTGTACTCTCTGGGGATTAAATAAAGTGCAGCTATTGTTTTTTTTCTCTGCTGTCTCTTGATTGTTGCACTTATACTTCTGTGTATAAATCAGGCTATTTGCAGCTTACAGTAGTAAGTCATGTTCACATCATGGTTGGAGGCAAAGAGATTTTCGAGTCTACACATAAGGGCACCTATATACATGTAAACCTAGGAGAGCTTAACTCAACCAACGTTCTGATCTTTATGTAGAAGCCACTTTATTATAATTTTGCACCAATTGAGAAACACAGGACGTCTTTGCAGGAATAGGCTGAAAGTGACCTTCAGGTTCAGTGTGGGGCGTTTTCCAGACTCTTTTCTGGTAAAAGTTTGCTGTGGAGTGTTTTCCAGGTCCAGAGCTGCTGGCATTACCTTAGTGCTTGCCCTGTCTCTGAAAACATTGAGTGGGTCGGATGGGGTGAGCACCAGGAGCTACCTTATTTACATAGGTCACTGTCTTTATTCCTCATTCCTGCTGGTTTTACCACAGAATGGGTAACACTGTAGGATTTAGCACTGACATTATCCGCTGGGTGGAGTGTCATACATGCTCTTTTTCCCACCATATAGCATCGAGGAAGCATCTTTTCACTGCTTCTCCTGCTTGCAAAGAGGCACACTGAACTTCGATCTTTGTGCCCGGAACAAGGTGAAGGGAGCAGCGTGAAGCATGTAGGGCCCAGGACAGGAGGAAGAGTTCCCGGGAATGACATTCGCGGTTATCGAGATAATAAATATCCTGGTAATCAGCGGTCACCAGGGGCCCCTTCCTCCTGTCCTGGGCCCCCCGCGATCTCTGCAACCCTGGTAGTTCCGCCACTGATTGGACCCTCACCTGCTACTTGCGGGTTTTGGGAGTACCTGAGGCTTTGCTGCCTTACTGTCACGTGGTCGCAACATGTCTGATTATAGACACAGAGAAGAAAGTCCCGTTTTACTTATGCCCCCAACTCTATTAACTGCTCTCGGGCTGCTTGCAGCATGCTTACTGATGGTTCCAACATCTGCAGCCTGGAATTGTGTTGCAGTTATTTGCAGACTCTAATCTTAGAGGTTCTGTCCCTTCTCCTGTAGATTCTATATCTAACTTTCCCACAGCCTTAGTGGCACAGAGATTCTGTCTGAGGAGTCATAGTCTTCTGCTATTAATGCCAAATTAAAGGAGACCATTTTGATGCAGTGTGCACCACTCTGAAACTAGAGAATCAGCCTGTTGCTTTTCCAATTGCTGTCTTTATCTTTGGATTGTTTGAAACTCCTAAGGCTTCAAAGACTTTCCCTTTGCATCCGCTTTTCCAACTATTTCTGTATGGATGAAACATCCTGTTAAGGTATTTGCTCCCTCGAAGTGCCTATTAGGCTTGTGCACATTTGGTGAGAATTGTGTGCACAAGTGGTCTGTTCTCAAGAAGTGCTTGATCCACCTGGCTTTTGAGGGACAATACATCTTCCTCAGATGAAACCTAAGGAAAGGGCTACAACGTTTTCTCACTCTCTGAGTGTTAGGAAACATCTCTTTTATTTCTCTACTGCCTTGACCCCAAGGATCGAGATCCCTCAAGCTTGGATCCCTGTCCACCCACAAGGTCTGGCACTCAAGGCATTAGGATGGGTGTCCACTTTAAAGAGTTGGGAGATGTTTGGTAAGCTTTTTGGATGCTTGGACAGCTTGCATTTCAGTCTTTTGTGTGCAGGAGGTGGTACCCCAGGGTTATAAAATTGGAGTTTTGCTTACTGCCACTGATTAGTTTCTGACCTTAAAGTGTATTTCCACTTTTGTAGTCAAATTTAGGAAAACCCCTCCATATGTTTGCTATGTGTTTCTATTCACCCAGTATACTAAAAATAACTTTTCTTTTTTAAAAATCTTACCTTTTAAATGTTTTGTTAAATCAGGTAAGATGGCTGATTCCAAGTTTTTCTGAGCCCTTTCACTGTTCCAATGGAAAGTCTTGGGACTGAATTTTGAGGATCGTGTTTATCTGATAAGCTTCATGAACATGCAATGGTCCAGCCACCTCTAAATGGATGTGGCCCCTAACCCCTTACAGCCCCTCCTAACATTTAAAAGAAATAGAAGCACAAATAATTATTAACCCTTAAAACCCTAACCCAAGTAAAAACTATTTAAACTGCAAGAAGCATTTTTTTGTTTAACTTATGGTATGTGAATGGGAACATGTAACAAATATAAAGTAGGTGTTATCCCAATTTGGCTGCGAAAGTTGAAATACACTTTAAATCTTCCTATGTCACCACACAAATTAGCCGATCTCCATAAAGCCCTCTCAGGTCTCCTAGATCAGGGCGTCCTTGCCCCAGTTCTTGTGGCAGCACAGTTTCACAGGTTTTACTTTAACTTTTTCACCGTTCCTAAACCCACTGGCAGCCCTTTCTGGTTTTGCACAGGGATAAAATGGCATTGAGACCCAGGACTTCCTTCTTGCCTATGGTAGTTTTTGCCTTTTACCTTAACAAGGAAAAGGAAAGTTCACTTCATTGTTTAGATGTGGTTTGGGTTGTACAAGTCTGTCTCAGTCACTGCTTCTTTAACCACTTCTGTCCGCCGATCGTTGAAAGACGGCCGGAGAGAAGCTGATGAAGCAGATCTGTGCTTCATCAGCTTCTCTGGGGGTCCCTAGGTGACATGTCTCCATGAAGGGGACCGGTAACTGTAATTTGTTATCACATAGGAGCACCCATTGTGATAACAATAAAGTTAAGTGTAGAAAAAAAATTGCTCACAAAATAAATACAAATTTACACACACAAAACAAAAAAAACCCCACAAAATGTTTTAAAAGTCCCCCACCCCCACATAGATGCGCAAAAATGCGTTACATCCGCCTACACGCAAAAACGACGATTGCTCCAATTATGCTACACGTGTTACATATCGCCGCAAACGTCGCAATGAGAGCAATAATTCTAGGGCCATCAATCACTGATAACACAACACAAAACTGATAAGCGATAAAATCTTTTAAATCATCGCCTATGGGTTCAATTTTGGCTATGGTGGTTTTTTGCGATTTCGCGGGCGCGCGCAATTTTAAGGCCTGACATGTTTGGTGTCTATTTACCCGACGGTACCCCGTCTTTTATATTTTACCAAAAAAATGGGTAAGTGATAAATAGCACCTCGCGCCAAACCCTGTGTAGCTGCAAGCACTATAAGAAGTGTTACCCTCTGAATATATCAAATTATAATGAATGTGCTGTGCTTCATCTAGAACAATACATAAACAAATCTCTATAATAAATATGTGCTTAAATAATACATGCAATCAAAAAAGTGTTAACAATGGATCTTCTTGTAAATAATAATCCTCTGGAAAGTTCAATCATATATTCCGTGTTCAAATATACACAAATGTGGAATCACACGTACAGTATATAGTGCTCAGGATTTGTCCTAAGTGCACCACACACTTTATCCTTCTACTGTGAAAGCTCTTTATACAAAGTCCATACGTCAACTCCAATTATCACCCAGGTGCTCCCCCTCTCAGTGGGCCGCTCACCTTATAAATAGACCTGAACAGGTCTAGAATCACTTTAATGTGCCTCCAATCGATCTTATTCTAAGGCCATCTCTCCACAATCGTTGCACAGAAAATGACGTCAGCATGTCATCACGACCATATCCAATAAAATATAAAAACAGCCCATAGCGTAAAACCGCAAAATTAAATAACCTCCTTTATTTAAAAAAACTACTCACATGAGGAAAGTAGATATAAAACTTCAAATAAAATGTATGCTCGACAACTCTCTCTCCGTGTCACCGTGTTCTCTGGGTGCAAAGACAGATCAAACAGGAGCTGTGCTGCCGACCATGCAATCTCCAATCCACGTCTTTTTTAATATATAAAATATTAAAAACCCCAGTCCCCCAGTGGTGATTAAATACCACCAAAAAAAGCTCTATCTGTCCCCAAAAAATTGCATAAAATGTATTTCAGTACAGCGTTGCATGATGGAATAAACGCCAGTCAAAGTACCGCAGCTCTAAATACTGAAAAATGGCCTGGACAGGAAGAGGGTGTAAACACCCCGGTCAGCAAGTGGTTAAAGTCATTGTGGATAGACCCTGCAAAGGTGCACCAGCTTCTTGTTCCACCATCTCTAGGTAGCTCAGGCAGACCACCATCCAGACTTATAGCCTCATAAATCGGGTTCTACTTTTTCCTGTCAATGTGCATTGTACTAGATTTGTGTGTACTTCTTGGGAGTTTTCAACATCAAGCAAATGTTTCCCATATTTGCAGGGCTGCCACCTGATCATCCATTAATATTTTGATATTCTATATAATGTTCATATAAGTTCTAAAGGATTGGCATTTCAGCCTTATCTGATGTCAGCTTCGGGTGGTTCTTTGAGCTACAGACAGTGGCAGTTACCCTTTCCTCAGTTGGACTGCTTTTGGAGGACTCTAAGGTTAAAGATTTCCTATGCCCCTAAATGGACAAGAAAGAAAACAGGATTTTTGTACTCATCATTAAATCCTTTTCTTAGAGTCCATCGAGGGTTCCACTCTTCCACTCCTCTGTGTTTGTGATCATGCTCCCAGTACCCCTTTGCTGCAAAATGGAAGCATGGTGGGACTTGGAGGGGGTTATCTTGGGCTGGCCTAGAGTTTTTAGTTTGCTGGTGTCCAATCCTCTTGTAATCAGCAGTATAAGGCTAGGCACACACCTTACAACCATCGCAAGACTTTTGTCTTGCGATGGTTGTAAGGTAATTAAAAGAAACGTACAATCTGCCTATCTTGGACAGGCAGATCGTACTTGTGATGATCGCAAGCCCGCCCCGCTGAGGGGCGGGCTTCCGATGACCGCAATGCCAAACGGGCATTGTGGTCACCGGCCTGTCCGGCTTTTATCTTACGAACATGCTACACACCCGCCGAAAATCGTACGATTCTCGGCGGGTTTTCGAACATGTTCGTAAGATAAAAGTCGTGCGACCTTACAGTAGTAGAGGTCGCACGGCTTCCACACACCTTACCATAATCGTACGATCGCGGGATTTCCCGCGATTATCGTACGATTATCGCAAGGTGTGTGGGCACCTTAACTAGAAGGTTAAACACTTCCTGTGGCCAGGAAAATAATTTTATGGTGGGTCCAAAATCCAATTATTGCCATGTTGCAGCCTATTAATGTAAATCACAGACTTACAGTGATTTTTTTTCATGTTTTTTTTTAGAGTTTTAATAAACGTTATTCATTTTAACCCCATATTATAATCATTTCATGTCAGTTTTTCGTACTATTCATAAACACCAGTTTTTTTACATTTTCCTTCATTTAACTTTTCATTGTTGCAAATCTCAAAAAGTCAGGTTGAATCTCACAAAGAGATGTGGTGTCTTTTTATTTTCAGGAGTATATCCATTCGAAATGTTGAACTTGCTAACATTTTCTTCAGCTGTGCAAAGTTCACTGCAGCTGCAAGTTGTTAACAACTTAGGTACAAGTGTACTTAAGGTGCCCATAGACTGCACGATTCTCATATGAGAATCGCGGGAAATCCCATGATCGTACGAGAATCGTGCAGTGTGAATGAAGGCGTCCGTTTCTACTGTACGGTCGCACGTCTTTTGTCTAAGGAGCATGCTAGAAAACCAGCTGAAATCTTACGATTTTCGGCTGGTTTGAATGATGCTCTGGAGACAAATGCCGAACGGGCCGGTGTGCGCATCTGCCTGTACAAGATGGGCAGATCATACGTTTTTTAAATTACTTTACAACCATCGCAAGACTAGGGTCTTGCGATGGTTGTAAAGTGTATGGGCACCTTTAGGTAATACATTATTATGTGTGATTGCTTACCTTGGCAGGTCTTTGTAGCTCCCTGAATCAATTTTATGGCCCATTCACATCTATGCATGTGCATTATATGCCCATTGCTTGTTTTTAGTACTTGTGGCTATTCATTTTCTTTGGCCCCTCAATGCACATACATACAAAAAACACCTGATCCTTTTTATCCTAAACCAACACATGTTGATTGGTGTAGGAGTTGCGGTACTTTGTTTATTATGTGTGGCCCAGAATGAATAGGCGCATCCAAACAATGCATGCACAGTGCTTATATCTTAAATGCGTAGATGCGCATTACAATGTGCACACATATGTGTGAATGCAATCATCACTACATAAGGCTTTATAAGGCTTTGTGTATAAAATCAGTAATATGAAACTTTTTTCTTATAGGTGGTATCATTTTTCTTCATTGGATTGATGTCAATGATGATTCCACTTTGCCATAACTTTGGTGGGTTGATTGCTGTCTGTCTGTTCATGGGCTTGTTTGATGGCTGCTTTATATGTATCATGGCTCCTATTGCATTCGAACTGGTTGGACCTCAACATGTCTCTCAGGCCATTGGATTTTTACTAGGATTTATGTCTATTCCAATGACTGTTGGCCCTCCTGTTGCAGGTAAAGTAGAAGTTTTATATATCACATTGTTTTTTGCTTATGTTTTTATACCACCAAACATTTATTTTAGGTACTTTCCTTTGAACATATTACTGTGCCCTGCTCCAGGTAAATCATACGCTTACATTATCACATGTAAGACTTTTCTTTATACCACTGGACTTTTCTGTATTTATACCACCAAACATTTCATTCACAATTTTGTTTCATTAACTTTTGGTAAAGTATCTACTGGCAGAATTTTTGTTTAGCAGCTTATTTGTGGAGGCTGTTTTGAAGAGCTAGGATACAAATTATGTTAATTTTTTGCTGCGGTTTTGATTTCTTTGGCTCAAAATATATGAATTTCTCCCAATTTACGCAGCGCTTTGCATAGTGCACATTCACACAGTCCCTGCCTTAAAGGAGTTTACAATCTAAGGACCCTATCTTACATACATACATACACACACATACCAGGGCTGATTTAGATAGGAGCCAATTAACCTTCCAGCATGTCTTTGGAGATTAGGAAGATAGTGTCCTTACCAGAATTCAAACCAGGGACCCCCGTGCTGCAAGAATGGTTATTTTGTATTCGAATAATTATATATATAAAACTAAATATGTGGTTGTATATATACACTCATCTGCCACTTTATTAGGTACACCTTGCGAGTACCGGTTTGGACCCCTTTTTGCCTTCAGAACTGCCTTAATTCTTCATGGCACAGATTCAACAAGGTGTTGGAAACATTCCTCAGAGATTTTGGTCCATATTGACATGACTGCATCACAGACCCAAAGTGTGCCAAGAAAATATCCCCCACACCATTACAACACTACCACCAGCCTGAACCGTTGATACAAGGCAGGATGGATCTATGCTTTCATGTTGTTTACGCCAAATTCTGACCTTACCATTTGAATGTTGCAGCTGAAATCGAGACTCATCAGACCAGGCAACATTCCAACCTATATTGTCCAATTTTGGTGAGCCTGTGCAAATTGTAGCCTCTGTTTCCAGTTCTTAGCTGACAGGAGTAGCACCAGGTGTGTTCTTCTGCTGCTGTAGCCCATTCAAGGTTCGACGTGTTGTGTGTTCAGAGATGGTATTCTGCATACCTTGGTTTTAATGAGTGGTTATTTGAGTTACTTTCTATCATCTCGAACCAGTCTGCCCATTCTCCTCTGACAGCAACAAGGTATTTTCGTCCACACAACTGCCGCTCACAGGATATTTTCTGTTTTTCGGACCATTCTCTGTAAACCCGACAGATCGTTCTGTGTGAAAATCCCAGTAGATCAGCAGTTGCTGCAATTCTCAGACCAGCCCGTCTGACACCAACAACCATGTCATGTTTAAAGTCACTTAAATCCCCTTTCTTCCCCATTCTGATGCTCAGTTTGAACTTCAGCAAGTCGTCTTCACCACGTCTAGATGCCTAAATGCATTGAGTTGCTGCCATGTGATTGGCTGAGTAGCAATTTGTGTTACCAAGCAATTGAACCTGTGTACCTAATAAAGTGGCCGGTGTGTGTATGTGTTTGTACACTGGATGGGGGATGCCAATAAATTGGCGAGCTATATTTTACTTGTTAAAATAATCCCAGCCCGGGGAGCGGAGCTTATCTATGGCGGCAGCCGGACGTGTTCGTCCTTAGTGCAGCTAGCTTACTCTATGCATAAGAGGCGTGCACATGTTCTGCAGGAGACATATTTTAAAGATCCAGTGGCCCCGCAGCTGTCCTCTCGCTATTACACTCTAGTGTACACGAGTAATAACTCCACCTCTAAATCCAAGGGTGAAGCCATCTGTTTCCACTCCACGCTACCGTTCCAACTCCTGCAGGTTGACAGGGCCCTGTATGGTAGGTATCTCTTTCTGAAAGGGACCCTTTATCATAAGACCTATACCTTTGTCAATGTATATTTGCCTAATCTGTCTCCTTTGCCTGCTTTCTTGTCTGTACTCCGCCAGCTGGAGACGTTTGCGGAGGGCTTTATAGTTCTTGGCGGAGATCTTAATTTCCCCTTAGATCCGCGCTTAGACACTTCCTCGGAGAGATCCTCTGTTTCTCATACACAACTGAAGCGCCTCAAGTCCCTCATGCACCGCCTGCAGCTGGTGGATATATGGCGGATCCTATTATCGTCAGCTACTTCCGATGAGATTCCGGGGTCATCTCCCATTCATAACCAGCTGGGAGAAGGACTTGGGTGTTACCTTTACTGATGAAGAGATCCGAACCTCCTGCGTAATTACTCATAAACTCTCCGTGGCCTGCTCGGCTCAAGAAAAGGGCTATAAAATCCTAACTCGGTGGTACCGAAGCCCAACCCTCCTACATAAAATATTTCCTGATAGGTCCGCCCTCTGCTGGCGTTGTCTGGCAGCGGAGGGGACCCTACTACATGTATGGTGGGGCTGCCCCCTAGTGTTGCCATTTTGGAACCGGGTCTTTGACATCTATAACCAGGTAATGGGGACGGATCTAGTAGCCTCCCCTAAAATAGCTCTCCTATCTCTTTTACCTGGCTCCCTTGCCTCGATCAAGAGGGACCTACTCCGCTTCTTCTTGGCAGCGGCCCGAAACGTAGGTCCGCGACATTGGAACACTGTGGTCGCCCCGACCGTGCAGGAGTGGATTGCGGAAGTGTGTCTGATCATGCGCTTTGAAGAACTGACGGCCTCTCTACATGAGCGTCAACCCCAATGCGCTACTTTGTGGACCCCTTGGATTTTGTACATGGACTCAGCAGCATTTAGGACCCTATGATCGTACTAAGTACCTCCTGACTGACACTGCACTAGTGCACTGCCTCTGATATACCTAAGTGGGCCGTCCAGGGTGACAGATGTACTATTGGGTCCGGTGGAAGCCCCCCATCCCTTTTCTCCTCCCCATTAAGTACCCTCACGTATCGGTTCTCCTACTTAGCCTGGCACCCCGCCTGGCAGGCGCCCCCCGCCCATATTGTGTTGTCCATTGAGTCCCGTGTTACTATGTGTTTCTCCTCCTTTTTGTCCCCCTTTAGTGTTGTCTAGCCAGATGGGAGATCGCAGCTACCTTTATATCTCCTGGGTGAGATGCGCTCAGTAGCTATAGAAACTAGAAATTTACCCCCCTCTGTATGACTTGATCTACATATTTACCACTGTATGTGATGGATACTTGAACCGAACACATATATATGCATTGTTATATGCTTGTGTCTCATGCAGAGCTGTGACTGTCTTTTATGTTACCTGTACTAAACTCTTAATAAACATTTATTATTTAAAAAAATAAATAATCCCAGCCCATCCGATACTTTGGTTATATCACTTACATATTATGCCAGATACAGTTAAGCATTTGCAAAGGTTTGACTACACATAAGGTGTACATTCTTGTTATTCTTGTTATTCTCGCGGTATTGGTATACTTCTACATAGGCTGGTACAGTTCTCTTATATTCAGATAGAAGTGGATTCCAAAGGCAGATATGTGTGTTCTTTAATGGTTTGGTTAAAGAACAGGAGGAACGGAAAAGGACAGAAAGGGAATATTATATTTTTAATGAATGTTTTTCCCTTATTTTTTCCTTGACCAAATCTTTGATGTATGTTTGAGTGTTGTGATTGTTTGTGGTTTTGTCTGCTGTATTTCTTTGTTTTGTGATATATGGATATTTTTACCTTGCATAACAAATGTATAAAAAAGAAGGTTGAAAATGGCACTCATCCTTTCTTTTTAACCTCACTGGCCTAAAATAACCCACTTAGCCCATCCCAGATGCAAATTTACCTAAATTTTAGAGCCAGGGCCTCCTGCATTGTTGACAGCCTGTGGGTGAGTATTAGCGAACCAAGAAACCAGACAGAAACTAAAGTGCAGGTTAAAAATAAAAGGAGTTTATTGAAAATAACAATAAACAAAAATGGAAAAAAACAATGGAGGAAGTCCAGGACATCGTCGATGCCAAGCCAGAGGTCAGATGCCAAAGTGGGTAGTCATCTGAACCAGGTCAGGGAACAGAGAGCAGAATCAACAGAAACAATAGCCAATGTTAGGAACCAGGAGATCAGTCAGCCAGAGCCATGGTTATACACGAAGAACAGGAACAACAACAGAGCAACAGGTAGTTCTGAACACAAGTAAGGGCGAAGACTAAATGGACCAGATGATGGTTAAATAGTGAAGTTTGGTTGCATCATCACTCAGAGATTTGTCAGTAGTTGCAGAATGATGATGTTTAAGGGCGCCAAAGAGGAACGAACAGTGTCAGATACACTGCAGACAGGCAACTGCAGCTCAACTGGACGAGGAAGTGTAAGAAACCCTGGCACTGAGATCTTCCCACGGGCTGTTTCTGTGCAGGTGATACACATAGAACTCAATGTCACTGTCGTCCAAGCATTCCCAGCATCAAGAGATGTGCCCATAAGTGTCTATGGAGATCGCGTGCCCAGGCACAGCCAGTGGGAAGAAGATTTTGACTGCTGGCATGTCGTTTAAACTCGAACAGTAAACTTCTCTTATTTGCTACCTTTGGGTCTGTTAAATATACATTAAAATGTTTTGTTATATCTGTTTGAGAAGTGCAAAAAAATGCCTGTTTCTGTCAGAAATTCAGAGCTGTCCTGTGCACACTTACTGTGTTATCTCAAGGAGTCTAATTAGCCCTCCTAATTTTTAACTTGGGCTACAGACTAATTAGTATCTATGTTGTAGATGTAAAAGAGTGGCAGAGTTCGAGAGGTTTAGAAAAAAAACAACTGGGTAGGGCTGACATAGGGAACATAGGGAAATGGGCATGTATTGCAAAGATGCACTGCTTGCGTGTGTGTGTGTGTGTGTTTTTGCTTGTTTTATTTTGCCCACACTTTAAGATAAGTATGCATATAGGGTGGGAGAGGATTCTTTACTCTTTTGAGGCTTAGGGGGCTAGGCAGGAAGGATAAGGGCCTATTCATTCAATTTCTAGTGTAACATTTATTTGGAAATGCAATAGAAAGCCTACCTGTTCAGAAACAGACACTTAGGTTGTTTATTATAGGAGTCTGACTTCCTGAATTGTAGTAAATATAGTAATATATCAATATATATTAAAAGGTCTTTTCATAAAATGTATATAGGCAGCTCAGTACTAAACTATTAGGGCATATTGGCTAATATTGCTTTTCATCTGTGTTCATGTTCTATTTATTGCAAGTCCAATTTAAGTAAACTAGCCCCTAAACCCCTGCAGGTTCAGTACCCCATCTCTGTTCTTGGGTCAATTCCAAACAGTAGAGCAAATATGGGTGAGTTTGTGGCAGTTTGTGCAACCTAACCAATGTGCTCCTCAAAGAATTCAGTCTGTCTGTTTTATTCATTCACACGTCTTATTCATTTGCCATCGGAAAAAAACAAATTAGCTGCTAATAGTTTTAATTTTTCCATATATATATATATATATATAGAGAGAGAGAGAGAGAGAGCTGTGGAGGCCTATTGAACAATAAAGGTTTCTTACTCTTACGTGCAGCAACATATAGTAGCAAATCCGAATTCTCTTGTATTGGCTCAGACTTAAGCAGAATGAATTATGATCGGTTGCTTTTGGTTACTGCAAATAATTAGCACATAGGAATAAAATTCTTTCTTGAATAAGGCTAAAATTATTTCACAGGAAGGGTTGTTGTTTTTCTGAAATTGCATTTACTTTGTGTTATTAATCAGTTAGATGAACATTGTGCTTAGCATAGTTTATCATTCATTTGAAGAAAGTTGCATCATAAATATTTTTTGGTCTCTCTAGGTTTATTGCGTGACAGCCTTGGATCTTATGATGTAGCATTTTACCTGGCGGGTGTACCCCCTATAATTGGTGGGATCATTCTATGTCTTATCCCATGGGTCCATGGAAGGACTATACAGGAGAAATCAAAAGCTGTGGATGGAGGAGAAGAAGAGAGGAATATGGATGTTGCCAGCCCATTAAAACCTGGCACAGCGGAGAATGATAAAAAAGAAGATGTCTCTGTCATTTAATTCGCATTTCTAATACAAAAAAAACTGTTTTAATCTTTTTTAACCGTTTTTATGACAGTGACTGAATGTTGTAACTGTTGCTAGGAAGCCAAAGCTATATGATCACGCTGAGCTGTTTTCTTGCACAACCCACTGAGCCTGCCATGCCAAGATCCCTCTATGACACCTCAGTGAAACTCCAAGCACATGTGTGAGTGATGAGCAGGACTAATGAGCTGGAAGCTGTGAATATCACAGAGAAGTATTATTTATCATCAGGAAATCGCTGACTGCTCACTGCTTTACAGCACTGCAAGAGTCGTCTCAGTGACTCAACATGTTTCTGTTTTGTTTTCCAAATTTCAGTGCATGAAACTCTACCAGTTCTACAATATGCAGACGATTGGTGAAAATGTTTGACAGAATAGCACATTTACCATATGTTTTCTTATCTCCAAACTTACCTCTGCTCTAACTACAGCTTTTGTTTTTAAACAGGACTGGAGAACTTTCTTTTATAGACAATTCCCCACAATATTCAAACCTCAATTTGTAAGTAGGCCCTATAGCAGGGGTAGACAATCTCTGGCCTTCCAATGGTGCTGAAACTACAAATCCCTTCATGCCTCTGGAAGTCATGCGTGTGGCTATCACTCTTGAAATGCCTTATGGGTATATGTAGTTACACCACAGCTGAAGGGCCGTAGTACTTGCCCTGCTATAGGTTATGGCTGTTGGACTGGCTTCTCCTGCAAGCCATGATGGTCATACCACTGCTCATCGCTAGTGGTAAGGACATCTTGGCAGCCACTTTTGGAATACCGGTAATTTTGTTTATATTGGATACTGACACATGCTTTATGTGGACTGTGGATGCGGACTATCCGTTAGTATATTGCATTATATGTTGAAGTACCCAGTTGCCTTATACTGTACAATTGCAAGCAGTAATTACATCTATATGTATCAAATAACTTTCCAGAATCAATTTATACAGGCTGCAAAAAGAAAAAGTGACATATGCCTTTTATTTTCTGCAAAAGTGACTACAATGTCCTTTAATGGAACTGCTGCTTGTAAATCTGTTGTCTATTGAAAAAATACCCTCACCCAAAAAAATGACATTAAGCTACCAAGGCTTTTACAAAAGAATATCAGGGTGCTTTGCAACTCCATTATGAACAAATTGCTATGTCTGGTTTTAGATTCCGACAGTTGCTTGGGGTTCCTACGATGCTTTAGAGGCCTGACTAGCAGTGTCAAGTCTTTTGCCTAGTTCAGCAGACAGAACTGGGTTGGTCGGCTCCTAGGGTAAAAACAAATTTTTGGAGCAGAAAAAATTTAATTCATTAATTACCTAAATCCTTTCCACTGGTAACAGCTGTAGCAAGATTAATTGTATCTCCAGTACATAAGTTTGAGCTGCAATCTTCTTGGAGCTGCAAAATACAGTATATAGATATTATGCAGCTCCAAAATGATTTTTCACAATCACTTTAGCTCTGGATTGATTTCCTGATTCTCATATGTAATGTGAAATTGTATAAAACTGAAAGCATATTTGCAGTCCTGTTAGCAACATTTATTTTAAATTTAAGGGTGAATGATAATTTACAAAATGTGAAACTGTACGTACAACATGCTGAGGCATATGACTTTCACAATGCATCATCTTTATGTTGAGTGTGCATTTGCAGTATAGCCACAACCATTTTTGTAGGCTGAATCAGTGTTGTAAGACATGTGTCCTATTAGTTTATGAAGCTTCACCAAAGTACATCAGTTATATAGCTACTTGCATACTAAGTTTGCTTTACAATGGAAGAAAAGTCCCTTTGTTACTATGACTAGTATATTTAGTTATGCTGGAGAATTAGCATTCCTCATGTTTCATCCAGTGCCATGATTTTTTGAAACTCTGCCTTCTACTATGCAACTGTGATCCTCAAAAATAATTTGTGCCTTAAGCCCAAAATTCACTTTATCATTCATCTGTTTTATCTCATCACGAGTACCGGGAATCTTTTTATGTTTCACTATCTAAAAAGCCTTGGGATCTTGACACTTTGCACTATCAATGTAGACTTGAGGGAATGATTTACTATGTGATATCTGGCCTATATACTGTAGATCCAGGTTACACATAGATTGCCAGTTTGGGTAGCAGGGAGATTTAAAAATGCCAAAGACTTTTTGTGAATAACAATCTGACCACCTCAGCATACAGACTTTATCTTTTTAAGTCACTTTAGAAGCAATGTTTGATGTCACAAATATTTATTTAAAATTCACCATGAAAGTGGTCCTATACTCACCAAAAATGCAACATTGATTTTTAACAGCGCTGCCACATTGCAATAATAATTGTCTATTCAAGTTGTAAAAAAATGAAAATTGTTCTCTCTTACCTGCCTGTTACCTGGTCTTTGCCATAAGTACCTAAAAGACTGATATGCAGATTTGGCAGTTTTGTAGCTTTGCCTAAACATGGATCCTCCATTGTGGCAAGGGCCACATGCCTTAGCATTTGTCACAAGGCAAGCTGTCAGAGCGGTGCCCAAATGCTTGTTCTCCAAGAAAAGTTTCTCACAACTTAATTTGATATTTTAGTCATGGAGCAGCACTGTTAAGATAGCTGTCATGCCTTTGAGTATATATATGTATTAGGATTGATTGTGTATATCTTATCTTCTTTGTCAGTGCAATACAATCCAATGCTGTATGAATCTTTACATTTTAGAAAAATAATACTCCTGATACTTACCATTATGTTTGTACTTAACTAAAAATGAAATCTAAGCAGTGTATGGCCAGCTTTAACCTATGGTAGAAAGTGTGGCCGGCTTAAGTTTCTACAGTCATTGTAAGATCATTTCCATTGCCCTGTTCTTGGCTGGAAACTTTATATAGCAGATTTTGCTGTTAGATAGACATTCTTTTTCTTTTGGAACAATTCTGTTATTTAAAGTTTAAAGTTGTATACCAAATATGAAAATGTAAAGTTTTATAGTGCTCAACTAATAATAGCTATAGTCTTATAAAATATGTTAGGAAGTGCTTGTATTTTATATAAACCAAAATAGTTAAGCCTGTATTCTATAAGTTTTGTGTAATAAATTACTAAGTTTTAAGCACATTGTTTTTATAATTTTATAAAGGAAGAAGAGGGGGCAGAAGGCTAATTAGAGAGAAAGTAAACCCCTTTATCATTTATCATTATATATATATATAAATTGTTAACATTTAAAAAACGTCACAATATGGGAACACGAATATAACATTTATTAATAAAAATAATATTATTTGGTAAATTCATAAAGGTCGTCTAGGGTTCCCATGTTGGAAATGGGTCACACTTCGTTGTCTAGTTTTTGGTTATACAGTAAACTCCCCATTATCCTGCATACACAGGGATTGGTAGATTCTGTATAAATGTTGTTTCTGGTTACTTGAGAGTTACTATTAATAATGGGTCTAACTAATGCTATACCCCATACTATACCATACCATAACATAAACTCTGTATTGACTTCATATTAATATTGCAATGCAGCAAAGCAAATTAAGACAAATAGACACACGTTCATTTTCAGGATAATACATGCCGCAGATCAGCAAAACTGAATACACACAGGATTTTTTTTTTTTGGTTAGATGAGAGTTCTGGTTAGTTAAATACCGGATAACTGAGAGTTTACTGTAGTAATACTTTCAGATAAAAATGCATTGCAAATACATAAGTTGTCACTAATAAGATTTAAAGTCAAATAAACATTAAAATATGAAATAAGCTGTATGTTATTTAGCATTTACTGTAACTATATTCTATTAGTTTGTTATCCTTCAAAATAGCTAGTATACCAACAAAGTCTAACAGTTGCTACCTTGTCAACTGCCTGACCACACATTATCTACCAGCTTTTGAGTGTGCAGTGTGTGACCCATGGCACAAGCTACAGTGTTAGATCCAGACAGAGTAAGTAAAAAGGAGACAAATGCAAATCTTTCATAAGTAAGACTGCAAAGCTACAATAATTTAAGACTGAATATCAAGATTTTTGCATATGCTCAATAATGACTATTCTCTTTTAGTCTTTGTGGGAACTAGCTCAATGTATAATCCTAAAAGTACGTTGTACCACCATGTTAAACTACCACACCATCTGAACTGAGGAAAAATGTTTTGGTTCTGTTGGTAAGTGTGGTCAGAAGATGACAATGTTAGCTATTGAATTGTGTATTTTCATCTGTTAACAGTAAAAAGCCTCTGTGAAGAAGGTAATGTTTTGCCTGCTCAGTACTCCTACTGAAAAACAGCAAACGCAACATTCCAGTTGTAAAAAGCAAACTATATCATATAACAAAAGAAAAATCACATTTGATGTCATGGCCAAAGATTATACAATATCTTCAGACTCCAGACACGGGAACTGCCAAAAAGCCTTAATCTGTCATACTGTATGTGTAACAGTGAACAAGGACACATTGGTAAATTAAAGTGGACCTGAACTTAAAAGTGAAGACTTGCTATGTTATAGGGAGCATATAGAAATGGTAAATTTGCCTAAGCAATACCCTGACAAAAATTTAATTTTTGTTTGGAATTTCTCATGAAAAATAGCTGGGCACTTGTTTCTGGTATGCCTTGGCACTCCTGTGCCTACAGTCTCATAGCTCTATATCTGAAATATAAGATTTAAGCCACTGCTGCCTCTAACTGCTAGTCTCAGAGATTTTAAATCAGATTTGGTGATGTCACTACTGTGCTGCTTGCTGTTCTCCTTTCTGGAAGCTCTGACATGAAAATTAAAAGCAGTGCCTCTACCAAGATGACTGTCTCAACATAGAAACAGTGCAAAACAAGGCATGGTAAGTCGGTAATGGAGGAAATAGCTGCAGGTAGCCCCACAACAGTACAGTAATACTTGGTTTACAAGTAACTTGGTTTGAGAGTATTTTGCAAGACAGGCAAACATTTCTGAAAAATTGTGCCTTGATATACAAGCAATTTCTTGCAATAAGAGCAACATTTTGTAGAAAAGCACCCGAAAAAGGCTGTAGCAGTGCGAGCAATGAGTCTGTTTAACGACAATGCATGTCACATTGGATAGATTCCTTGTTAAGGTTTCACAAAATGAAAAAGATTCCATTGAGCCGAGAGATAGCAGTGATTCCGTTAGTGATAGTGAAAGTCGCCCTACGCAATAATCCTCCTCTCTTGTCTCCCTCACACCAGCCATGAAGGTACCAGTAATTGGTTTATTTTTCTTTATATTTTGTACAGTATTATATTACAGTACAGTATTGTAATCATTTTTATA